TACGACATTAATTTTTCAGAGGAGGCCATATGACTGAGGCAAGCTACATTAGCCCAGCGATATAGCCGATAAGACACCGTATCCAGAAGAAAATATAGCCCCCGTGAGTAGGTCACTGGTTGCCAAGTTCACATAACCTGTAGATTCAGTAACCGTGCTTCTTCAAAAGAAATTGATCACAACGCTAAAAAGTTATAACTTTACACAGCGGAAATTGATCATGACGCTAAAAGGATACAACTTCAGATACTTCCATCTGCCAAATCCGAGACTGTGAGAAAATCAAGGCATGAGCAGAAAGAAGTGATGCTTTACACCCAACACAGCACAAGAAGCACTTCACAATATTATGCAAAAACGCAAAAAGTGCCATCAAAGAAGAACACCAGAAACTTATCAGCCGCAAGCTCGACCACAATTGTCTCTCCATAATTGCTCAATTTCTTTCTTGCTGAAAGCTGCAGGTCATTGCTAGCGGTAGTTGCACTGATTTTAGCTTCCAGAAAGCGCGACGTCGGGTTCGAGCCCGGACGCTCAAATTGATAATCCGTGCTTCGTTCGAACGAGATTGGCTTGCATTGCGGCCTCCCTCATCATCATTGTGATAAAGACGAATCTATTAAAAGAGTAAGTCGTGATCAGCGCCAGAAACTATCCGGAATATCATATAAACCTTCGCCTTGAAGGGAGAGAGTCGATGCAACGCCCTAAGCTTTTTGCGAATATCTCCCCGGCATATTGCGCAATCACGCCCAAAATTTCCAACATACTATTGGGCACCCGTTGCACGTGTTCTGACACCACGTAGCTTTTCTAGTATGGAGCAGCGGCGACTTTTTAGCGGCGGATCGAACGACAGACAGTATCTCCATCGCTTAGTCCCACGTTTTGTTTCTGCAGTATGTATCTATGCAAGGCTGTAGAAACAGTAGGGTAGAACGCTCCGATCTCAGTAAATGTAGAGCCTAAGGATTTGGGAGTAGCCGCGAATTGGGGCGTCATACTCGTCCTTTCATTGTTTAGAGAAGTCATATCGTCACAGAATTAAACAACGGCTACCACGGTAACAAACCCCAGATTCTGTATTGTGGTAGTTCGTTCAAGGTTTGGCTCTGGTCCGTGTTGCGCCACATTCTAGAATCTAGAGGTGGAAAAGAAATGTTTTTAGCGTCTATACGCCTACACTCTGAGAGGCCATCTTGAAAAGCACATTTTACGCGTAAATGTTGTTGTTCGGAACGAATGGTTTTCGTGTAATGAGTTCATCATTTTTACGGCCAATCTGAAGCGTCAAGACGAATCACCGTGATGTCAACAGTAGCTGCACATGGAAAAAAGTATGGCGTGAAGAATGTTAAGGAAACAAAAATACAGAGATGAATGGGGCAAATATTACACCTCCAATGTCGGTCAACCCGTGCTGATTCATGTTGCAATGAAGCGCTGAGGTGACTGCAACTTAAGAGCTGTAAAATTGGCGCCAAGTGCGTGGCTTCAGTACGGAAACGTGGATGTGTAATTGTTTGACATTTCAGCATGTGAATGTAATCAAAGTTCATAGGTATATTTCCAAAGTTCCTGGTACACACAGAACGCAATAAATTACAAATGTTGTATTAACCATGCAGCGTTCTCTAAAAAACGAAGTCAGAGCATTCGGCACTTGAAAATACTCGCAACACATGTATACAGCATGATTCTCTAACTCCTACTTCATATCCATCTTTCGCCCGCAAGGCGCCAGCTTCCTTGTCCAAATTTTAAAAAGCTGTGGCCCATGCGGTCTGTTATAAGGCCAAAACCGCCGAACACTGCATTACCACTACGACGTTTTCCTGGCATTACAACGCTGGAAAAATTGCAGAAGTTGTAATATTTTGAATACTAGAGAATCACTACTACTGTTTAGATTCCGGTTCTCACTGTCTTTTTCTCACCAAACTCAACATACGGATTCTTAATTCCAATTGGTTCCTCACAAACACTGCACTCTCATTTCTGGTTTCAATTAATGCACTCACAAACCGTTTGATCCTGACTTTTGCTTGTCACTGACCCATTCATAGAAACCAGCTTAGGCTGCCATTAAACGACATTCCGCCACATAAATAATGTCTGAACTCAAATATGCCTTGCATGTGTTTTTAAGTATCTGTATGCGCAGAGTGCAAAATGTGAACTGATGAAAAGAATACGTACCGGTTTCTAACAGCACCTCCAGGTGGGATTATGGTTATCGTTAGCGTCTTTGACTTTACGTTACACATCTTGGTTCTTACTGGATCCCCGTTATATTTGCAAGCTGGCTCTGGGTTTTTATGGGAGCTATGGCCATATTTTTGACTCAGCATTTGCTCCTGCTGGATCTATCGGCACAATTGCAAGTCGGGTCTTGGTTCTTGCTGACTTTTCTGCATATTTAAGGCCGGGTCCTGGTTCTTTCACAATCCGTCGGCGTAGATTCAAGCTTAATTCCGTTTTTCTGGTATATTTCTGGCATCTCGCGTGCTACCGACCGAAGCAGGAAACAGCGCTGAGTTTGAGTTTTTCCCGATGACGCGTGGCTTATCACAATGACGACCGGAGTTTCACGGGGTTTAAAAAAGTAACATCACTTTTCCGTCCAAATGTAAAACTCCATGTGTTCATTTCTGGCCATTTTGTGTTTTTTATGTCATCTGATTCGTTTTTTCATGCTGAATTCGAAATACTTAACCAATAGTTGAAAGTTCACGAACTTTTACATTAATAAAGGCTAAAAGTCAGTGAAAATTTCAACTGATGGTTTAAATACATGAACTCAGCGTGAGGAGATCAATGAGATAACTTAAAAAACACAAAAAAAAACAAAGTTAACATGTGGGGCTTTACCTTTGGACGGCAGCACTTCCGTTGACTGAACACAGGATTAGATTGCCATCCGGATTCCCTGCAGGGGGTTTAGAAACAGTGACACTCTTTCGTAATGCTGTACAGAAGCGCATCGCTCTGAGTTTCATGTACGCTTTTGATACAAGCAAGAAAGACCTTAAACTCTTGCTCTTTTGCGTTGTGGACCCTTCTACCAAAAAAAACCTTCAGTACACCAGGTGCCGGTGAAGCAACGACATCAGGCACCATTTTGCATATTTTCATAATGTAATGTCACGATGGTTGTTTGATATATTCTTTTACCTACCTTCTTTTACCTAGTAGATTAAAGGTCGGCTATTTCCAACATAAGAGCTCAAAGTGATATAGATTAAAAGTTGCTCGACCTAATTGGATCTTTCCTGGGGAAATTTGAAATCCAGTTTCATTTTCCAGTTTTCGCGAACTGCTGTATTGGCCGCAATCGAGTGATGATACTTAGATTAAACATAGGCGCCTAAACGGAAAGGCATTGATGACACGCAACCAAGTAAAAGCGTGTAAACTGGCCGGCGGTCGTCAAGTGTTCAATGCACCGATTTCAAAATATTTTTAAACGCATACAACTAAATGACGCTGCTCAAAAAGTACGGCAAGTTATTTAAAAACTAAGCGTAAGAGCGTCAAGGTCCCAAGACTGCATTTATGCGCCGAGCTTCGGGAGAGGATCACGGCTGCGCAATAATCCTTATTTCCTGAGATCCGCGTGGTATTTTGCTGTTCTTAAAATACATGCTCCAAGGCTGGTATGAGTTGCATCGTCTGCAATTGTCGTGTGTCAGCCTACCATGTGATCACCGTGGGTGTGTGCACTCTCCGTAAACGTGCGTTTTCAGAGTTCATAAAACTGGTTACGAGCGCCGAGCTTCATTTTGCCTTCATATAGAACTCATATTCATTCATAAGTGATGTTCTTGGGCAGATTTTCTAAGAGACCTCATGTAGCACGTTCTTCCGTGTGCATTTTTCTTTCAGCCGATTTATACATGTGTGGTGAACCGTAATCTTATCTAGACACGCTGGAGTCTAGGGGGCTGTTCCAACTGGCATGGACTTCAGACAAGCGCCACCAGTCCACGCTGCCCTTCTTATTCTGCTACTACTGAAGCCGTGCAAACCATTCGAGGTGCGGTGGCTTTCACCTGTTTAAACAGCTTGCCATCTAGAAACGGAGGTTTTACAAACATGTTGTTTTTCAACTGTCTACAACTTCATTGCGAGCCTGATGTATTGTTAGACAGGGGCATACGCATGGATGTCCATTGGGGCGGGGGGGGAGGGTGACAGCACAAACACAAAACTTTTATCGAGTTGAGCGCGCCACAGTCTCTCTCTCTCCCTCTTTCTCTCTCTCTCTCTCTCCCTCCCCCCTCTCTCTCTCTCTCTCTCTCTCTCTCTCTCTCTCTCTCTCTCTCTCTCTCTCTTCTCTCTCTCTCTCGCGCTCTCTCTCTCTCTCTCCGACGATGGGAACGCTGCTTGGATGCCCGATCGACGACCACGCGACAGATCACGCCGAGAGCCAAGGATCAGACCGACCGACAGAGGAGGCAGCCCGTCATCACCGAGGAGCGCCGCGCGCGCCGGAGCCATCGCCGCTGCGTTCACTGAGCTCCGCCGCATCGTGCTATCACAGCGCTCCATTCCCGAGGGTCCTCCCCCTCCCCCTCCACAGCAGAGCTGGATGACGGCGGCCGTCTCGGCTGTGCCCGGCTCCCCTGGACCCCGGTGCGCGCCGGCCGCGCCGCTCATCGATCGGCAGCCGGTGGCCCATTGTGCCGCGGCGCGCGGCCCGCCCCCGAGGGGCGGAGCCTGGCGCGCGCGCCGCCCGCCAGGTGAGCGCGCCGCGCCCGCCATGGCCGGACAGTGTCCACCGCGCGGCCGCCGGGACTGGTGAGTGGTCGCCGCGTCAAGCCGAGCGCAGCTCCGCGGCAGTCTCCGGTGTCGGTCCGACCAAGCGCGTGTAGCTTTCGGCCAGAGGCGGCGGCGGCCGACGGCCGAACACGAACCAGACAGTGCGCAGGGCAGCGGCAGGCAGTGCGCAGGGCAGCGGCGGGCAGTGCGCGGGGCAGCGGCGGGCAGTGCGCAGGACAGCGGCGGAGGTGGGCGGGCGTCACTTGCAGAGCCAGGTGCGGCAGCGCGGCGGACGTGCTCGATCGCGGCGTGCTCCTCGGCGGCCGTAGCCGAGGTCGTAGCGGGCCTGCCCGGACCGTGCGACGGCTGTGCGCCCATGTGCTGAACATGAGCTGCGCGGTGGCCATGTACCAGCCGTTCCACGCTCCGTACTACCCGGCGCCTGCCGGGGCCGCCGGCGCCGGCGGTCGCCCCTCGCCCGATGGCCCGCCACGGCACGGCATGGAGGAGAAGGTGGGTACGCCGGGCTGCGCTGAGGCGCGCCGCGCGGGCCCACCCGCGCCGACCGCCGATCGGTGTGTTAGGTGTCTGTCCCTGCTTCTGGTGGGGATCATCGGCAACGTCTCTTAATGTGTCGATAAATGTGCGCGTTTGCTGTTACATGCCTGCACTTTGGCCGAATTACATATGGACGTTGTAAGGGAACGGGGAGATCGGCACCACGGCTTTGATCGGGGTCACCGGCACTGCATACGGCACCGGCTCCATTGATCAGGGGTCCGTCGCTGGCAGATTTCCAATCAGGGACGTCAGAAACGGGGGGGGGGGGGGGAACATCGCCCATCATCCTCATTTCCTTATCTCGCCCTTATCTCCCACAAACATCATGCATTAGCCGCATTACGTTGCATGGCAAGCGACTACCCAAAATACGTTGAATTGTTTTCATCATCTACCGAGACGATCCGCCGCCGCTGCTTCCACTTGCTCCAGTCAAGAGACAATATCGCTTTGACGAACGACTGCTTAGGTCCTATTTGTATCAGAGGCATTTGCATCGCAACGTCGTGACCGATTTTCTGGACACGCTATGCAATATTCAGCGCAGACAACAAGGTCATTTGTCGGCGGAACAATGATAAACTGAAGTCAATGCCGGGCAGCTCTGCGGTGTTCCATCCTGGAAACAAATTACAGAGCCAGCACGGTCTGCGGCGCTGCGCCCATGAGGTAATCTAACGCCGGCGCCTTCAGATGTGGCGTGAGGTTATGACTCATTAACTCGTTTGACTCGAAAAGTGCACACTTGTGTGAGGGAACCAACCGACTGTTAACGCGTGGGCTACAATCGGAAGGGTATGTTTCTTAAGGGAGCCTGCGTTACCCTTCTATTCGCTGCCACACCTTGTTCCAGGCCCATTTCACTGCGGGACATCTTGGGAAGAACTCACGAAAGTACGCAACACGCTTACTAGCGCTGTGACAGGCGCAGGTGCACTGCGGCGCTCACTGGAGCTGCCAATGGGGATCGATATGCTGGCCAGCCGGGGCGGCCTGCAAGGCACGCAGGGTCTGTCGGGTCCGATGGCCGCAGGCTCTGTCAGGGTCCGATGGCCGCAGGGGCTGTCAGGGTCCGATGGCCGCAGGGGCTGTCATGGTCCGGTGGACGCAGGGTCCGTCAGGGTGCCATGGCCGCAAGCTCTGTCAGGGTCCGATGGCCGCAGGGGCTGTCAGGGTCCGATGGCCGCAGGGGCTGTCATGGTCCGGTGGACGCAGGGTCCGTCAGGGTGCCATGGCCGCAAGCTCTGTCAGGGTCCGATGGCCGCAGGAACTGTCGGGTCCGATGGCTGCAGGGGCTGTCAGGGTCCGATGGCCGCAGGGTCTGTCAGGGTCCGATGGCCGCCTGTGGCCATGGCACCCTGACAGACCTGACACCCTGACTGTCGGGGCCCGCTGGCTGCGGAGTTTGCCAGGGTCCGATGGCCGCAGGGTCTGTGGGAGTCCGATGGCCGCATGTCCGATGGCCGCAGGGACTGTTAGGGTCCGGTTGATACAGGGTCCTGTCAGGGTCTGATGGCCACAGGGTCCGTCAGGGTCCGGTGGATGCAGGGTCTGTTAGAATGAGGTATCACTAGCACAACTGCACTGATCTGCACCCCAACATCCAAAGCCAGGAACGACGGAGGTTCTCCCGAGTTATCCCGAGGGCCGGTGACCATTTTCGGTTGATTCTTTTCAGCCGGCGTCCTTCTCGACCAATTCTAAATTTTTAGAACGTTTTCTTTCGGGGGGAGGGGTTTCAGTAGCCCTGGCCCTGTGGTTCCCATGTATCTCTCCAACGCGTAACTAAATTTTCCCGTACAGGCTCACAGCTGCAAGTACCATGACCGCCCGTATTGCCCCAGTGAGGGTTCGTAAGTAAGGAATTCCTGCAACTGGAACCCCGATGTTTGCAGAGCCGATGCTAATGTAGCCTGTGTTTTATATTAGTTCGCAGGAACGCATTGATTGAAAGATCGATTAGTAGGTACGACACGGCGTGGACGTCATTGACAGACCCCACCCTGCTTTCTGGGTGCGCCACCAGATGTATTCAAATCAGCGGTCGGTGGCTTTTCTGCTTACGGAGCCCTGTCCGATGACAAGCCGTTGATTCAGTGCTGACCACAGGAGCCGGCCGCGGTGGCCCCGCGGCCCGCCGCGCCGCACGCTAATCAGCTCGACAATCACCCAGATGTTTCCGGGATTGACCGCTCCGGGATTCATCCGGGATTGACCGCTCCGCGCTGTGGTTGCGGAAAAATCCCAAGGTGTGCTTGTGAACATGTCGCGGGACTTTGAGATGTTCTGGAGCAGCGTAGGTAGGGGACGAGCTGGCGGTGATCATGGCACGCCGCTCCCAGCCTCGCGAGAAGGCCCCAACCGGAGAGATATTCCAGTAGCCGACGTGCCGATAAGGAGGCTACGGCTCAGCAGGTCTCATATTTCGCGACCGCCACTAATTGACACTGACAGGATGTTGTGGTACGCCCAGCGCTGGATGCACAGGATGCTCTGGCACCGGCGACAGCGGCGTTGGCTGGACACGCTGCCTCATTGTTGACAGAGGGCTGTGACGGCCGGCCGTTTGACGGATCGCTCAGGATTTCTGCTGGATTGGCCGTTTGACGGGATGTACCGGATTGGCGACATTGATCCTGTCACTGTAACGAGATGCTCTCATGGCTTAAGCACGTTGAACGCAAGGACTCCGTGAAGCGAACGGGACGTAGCGTCTAGGTAATAGGTGGTAAATTCACCCATTAGGCACAAGGTGCACAATCACTGGTTCATCTCTGGGCTCCGTGCGGCTCATGAAATGAGCGTGTGCCGTGCGACAGGAATGCGGTTAGGACCGTAAGAGAGCTTCTCCGCTTGGCACAAATATTTGTGCATCTTCCTTCTGCATTTTCTTCATTCTTATCTTGTTGTTGCAGACTTGGCATTGGCTTAAGTCTGGCTTAAAGGCTTGGCTTAAAGTCTGCGTGCTGCGGAAACTTCAGTTGAGGGCACCAAAGTCAAATCCGAAGCCATTGAAATGATCGGCGTCCGTCAAGCCACCGGCCGCGAGCTGCGTCATGTGACGGGTCCCAGGAACGGCCTCCCTTCCACATAACGTCCTTATCCTGACCTCAGGTTAACACATTGCCTGTCGTCGCGGCACGACTAGGACAAATGCGCCGGGTCAGCCCCACAGGGATCCACTTCGCCTTGCCAGCCGGCTTCGAGGAGGCTACGCACACGGGCTTCGATGGCACGCAGCAGTATGATGTCTGATGTGGCCTGCGGTCTCCCCATGGAGGGTGTCAGGGGTGCAGTGACCTGCACCCTTCTCCCCGGCGGAAGCACTCCAAGTGACTTCCTCGATCAGTGCATATTCCACAGGCCCATTAACCTGGCCACCAGCGGTGTCAGATGTCACAGCGGTAATGACATGTATTGGCAAGCATCGAAGCATAACTAAAGAACCATGGATTCGCGATCTGTTGTTTTAGGCTCACAAACATCAGCTTCAGAATGATCGCCTGACATTTCGTTGCCACTGATGTCGAGTCCACCCGAAACACTACCGTGCCCCAGAGCCAGTGGAAAACAGAGTGACGTGCCCGCTAGGTCAGCAGTTGACCTGAGATTCAGCCTGCCTGGTTCACCCACTACCCCCCCCCCCCGCCCACCCGTGCGAGTGCTTCTCAGGTCCAGGCCCGTCAACAGACCAGACCCGTCCCCAAGCCGGCCAACCACGCAGCCCGCCGGGCCGACAGACCTCCGAGCTGCTCCTCAGACCCGGCACCTAATCTCGCTTCAGACCCCCGATGAGCCTCTCCCCCCCCCCCCCCTCTGGTGTAGCCCGAGCGCCTCCGACGCACCTGTCCGGCGAACAACGGCTGCGGGGCTGTGTGCCCGCGGGGTGCTGGTCCTGCACCTGGACGCAGGGGCAGGTGTCCGGCAGGCGCGGCAGAGGCACTAAAGCGGACATGACTCAGGGCACCAGGAAGTGACCGACTCGGGGCACCAGGAAGTGACCGGGTTGGAAATCTCCCATTGCGGACACCGCAGGAGCAGGACTTGTGGGGGGTGGGGGGCACGCCATTGTGTTGGATGTGCTATATAAACCGGCCGTATTCAGCTTACCGGGCCAACTGACATGCATAGATGCGCTTTGGCATCGAAAATATCCGTAGGTAAAAAGGACACTTGACAAGAGAGATTAGAGAAGAGTTATAGGCGTCCTTCCATTAAGCATTGCATTGGAATGTTTCATACCTTCGCGGTCGTTTTGAACGGAGTTTGCAACAATAGAATCGATAAATAAATAAATAAATATATATATATATATATATATATATATATATATTGAATTCATTGAATGTTGTTTGATGTTTTACATGTACATGACACCTAAAATATAATGAGATAGCAGATAAACAACATGAAGGCATGTGATGCCAGGTATTTCGTGAAGTGGATGTCCACTTGCTTGTGCTCAAGCAAAGCTGGTTCTCACCGCGGCGAAACAACGCATTGGGTTGATTTTGACACTGGGTCAAACGTTACAACACATTTTTTAGTCGACTCCGATTCCGACTTAGGTGCTTATGGCTCGATCCTGCGGTATATTCCGGCTGATTCAATCCTGGCTACATCAGCTCAGCCGATCAAACGAGCTTTGATGCTCATACAGAGCGCTTCGAACATGCGTATCTTGTATTAGTACTACTGCAAATGTCTCTTGTTTTGTTAAGTGCTTTTGCTGAGGTTTACAAATGGGTATGTTGAATTTCTTGTTTGATTGTTCGAGTTTTGAGTTAATCCCACTCATCGGCGACCCCATCTGGTGTGGTTTTCCCAGCTCCATCTCCGCTCAGCACCTTGTTTACAGGAAGCATCCCGCATTTTTGTACTTTCACTTCTTGTTAGATCAGACGCGTACGATTTGATCAGTAATGCTAGCCTTCCCCGAAATCTTTCTGAAT